TTTTTGAACGCGAGATAGCGTTGATAGCGATCTCCCGAGCGTTCGTTCAGTTTCCCTAAACTGACTGCGGACCGTAACGAGCGACCGAGCCGTATACAGATAATTCGTCGCTCTCTTTTCGAGAGGCAATGAATTTATTGTTTATTATCGCTTTGCCCCCGGGGTTATACTTGAAGTATAATTGAAAACTGAGGAAAATGTTGTAACATTGGGGTAAAAAAATTCTCGACTTGGGCAGGTGAGAGGAAATTAGAATTGAAATCGTTCTTCTGGTATTTATTTAAATGCACGATTAGACAAAATTTTTGAGAGACTTGAAATTTCTTTTTGAGAGAAAGAAATACTTTAGCAAGGTTTAGAGAATTTTATAATGTAAGGTTTCGAATTTTATTGTGAGAAATAATGATTTTGGAAAGTTCGTGAGAGGAGAATAATAATACTTGTTTCTGGAATTTCGAATAGAACTGATTCGAATTTTATGTATTTAATTAAATTGATTGTTTTATTTGATTTATAAAAGATATTCAAATAGATCGAATTTTTAGAATCCCTAAATCTCCAAATAGAAATATTTTCTACCAAAGAAAAAAAAAAGAAAATAATTTCTGTTCACTTCCGATGTTTCGAGATATTTTACAAAATTGAGAATTTTTTAAGAATTATATAATTTAATTGCAATTATAAATTTATGCAACTTGTAACATATATTTAAATATAAAAATGCAATTTTAATTTTGCTCAAAATATTGCTCCTGAAACTTTAAGCACAATTTCGATTAGAATTTTATGACGAGGATACAGAAACAAGGAGTTTCCTTTTTAGGATTATCAGTGTTGGTTCATAGTGTTTGCTTGAATACATTGTAGATAGACTTTCTGAAACTCTTGAAACTTAGAACTTATTTTCCAGCGAGTTTTCATTTAATTCCCTCGTTCTGTAAATTTTAATTTACATCCTCGCACGAGGAAGTATGAATTACTAATTGTTTCAACATCCGGGAGCGTGTATAAATAATCGAAGATAACATTCAAACAGCTACAGCGATTCATTATAATAAATTCACGTCACTCGGTTGTACATTTTCTACACCGGGCGATTTATACCGCGTTGTTGTTGTTGAAAGATGCGCTATTTAATCATCAAAGTTTATGATTTATGCGCGATGGCGGAGTATTATATTTTCCTGCCAGCTTCTTAAGAAAGGATCGCGTAACAAATGATATTATATATACAGTCGCTGAGGTACTTGTGCCTGATTTCCAATATAAAATGCAGCTTCAATTGTTGTTCTTATTCTCGTTGATAAATTCTCACTCGAACTCATATCTCGCTATAATATTTGTCGCAAACGGTTAAAGAAACGACTCAGAAACATTTTATCCATCGACCGAAACAAAAATTCTACTCGATAGGAAGTTAAGTTAAATTTAATACAATGAATTTAAATTTTACTTAATGTTGAATTAAATAATCAAGTAATTTAAATTTTATTGAATTGAATGATTTAAATTTTACTTAATAGGAAATTAATTGAATTCACTATTTAGTAAACTTAAATTTTATTTAAAATTTTATTTCGATTAAATGTAATTAGCAATTACGACAATTGGAAACATTCGGAATTGAACTTGACATTTTCGAATGACTAAATATCACATTCATCTTCCTTCAGTTTTTATTCTTTCGCGGGAAACGTAACTAAATTCGCAACATTGTCGAAGCTGGAAACACTTTTGTATCGAATTTCCTTTTTTTCGTCTGTAGTGATGGATCATGCGAATTGAAAAAAGAGGGGGGGGGGGGAAATTAAAAAAAAAAGTCGCGCCGTCGCCATAAATCGAACAGATATAAAACGCAGCCGGTCACTTTTGACCCGTTCTGTCCATTATTGAGGACCCGCCGCGGCCATTATTGCATCGAGCCGGGGCCAAAGGCAAAGGTTTCGACTCGGAAAAAAAAAAAAAATAGAAAAAACAGAGCACGACAGTTGAAACGACTCGTGACCCTCGAGCAAAATCGGCATCAACTCTTTCGACCGTTTTCGGTAAAATCGTCACAAGTCCGAGAATCGTCAATAATTGTTTCGTCGAAAAACAAGAGATCCGTAAGAAAGAATTCTCTGTGGAACAAATATGTTTGAGAGTGTGTGATGATCTCTGGCCAAGTTGAGTTGAATCCGTGATTAATGCAGGGTTTTCATCGGTTTCCATTTTTCGAGTGCCGTCCGTTTTAATTCCACACGAGTTTTCTCTTTTTTTTTGAAACTATGCGCGCTGACCTCTGAAAGATGAAATGAACGTAATTATCCGATATTAAAAATGTAACATAATACGCAGCACAGTGCAAAATATTATAGATTGTAGAGTAGATGAATTCTAAGTTACTAATAAAGTTTATTATTATTTAAGTTATTTAAATTATTATTATTCTGAGTTACTAATAAAGTTTATTATTATTTAAGTTACTAATAAAGTTATTGCTAAATGTGTAGTTTCAAGAGTCATATTGGCTGTTTCTATGGTCAACGTTAGTTTTTTTTTTTTTTTTTTTTCAAACGAAATCACATATTTCGTGAAGCATCGAAATATTGAATGTAAAAAGTGAAAAGAAAGTACCAACTGCATTAAATTATGTCAAATTATCTCTAACTGTTAGCAAGATATAAAATTATTTTATAACGACATAAACAAATGAACATCATGCAATATTTATCGTGAGATAAATTTACGAATAATAATTAAATAACGATGCAATTTATATTATTTATAATTAATTTGTAATAAATTATATTATTTATAATATAATCATTATATTATTATTAATTTATAAATAATTTATATTACATAGAATATATTACAATATATTACAATAATATAAATATATTATTAAATAATTATATATTCTTTATATATTATTTATATATTATTAAATATATTATTAATTTATAAACAGTAATATATTTATATTTATATATTAATGAATATTTAATAAATATATTATTATCAATTCATAAATAATAACATATATTTATATATTATTTTATATTTAGTAAATATATTATTATCAATTTATAAATAATTTATATTACACGTACAATAATACAAATAATTAATAAACAATTTGTATTATTATATATGACTAAATTCGAAACCAAAAATCGAGTGTAAAGTTATATCAATATATATACGCAGTAGCTGGACACAAAATCAGATAAGTTCGCAAATCTACGAAACGGAGCAATTTGAAATGTTTGTTCCCCATCCCCAGCAATCTTCCAGCAACCTCCTCCACCTTCCCGAGTGATCGATAAAATCGACGAACGTGTGCCTGCTATTGAAATATGTGTGCATATGTCCACAATCAGCGGGGGCGGAGGGAAGGAAAAATGTGAAGTGTCGCTGCATCGGATACGTCGCACCGCGTTTTGATTTTTACCGCAGTGCACTCGTGGCATCTTCAATCAATCGCATGATGCCGAGGGGATGGGAAGACCTTGGTCAACGATCACTCGGCCAGCAATCGGTAACAATATCCCGCCGCGGGGCGTTTCAATTTCAATTTCCAAAGTGTTCGAAATCGTTTTATCGGGCCATCCACGCGCTGGAAAAATATCTCCGCCGATGTTTCTTCCAGCTGTGCCCATTTTTCGCTTGATACGTTTGCCGGAGTTTGCGGATGTTTGCTGGGACCTATCGGTGAACGAACTTCTGCACTTTTTTTTCCCACGTGGGTGTTAATAATTATATCACATCTGAAGAGAATTCTTTTTTTTTTTTTATAATGATCGATGCGTAGCGAAGTTTCAAAAGTATCTAAAAAAAGAGAGCAAAAGTTGAGAGATTTATAATTATAAATTTCTTCCCCTCAGATATATTAATTTCTTTCATAATTTTTTAATTTAGATATTTTCTCTCTCTTTTTTTTTTCTTTTTTTCTTAATTGCACATGCAAAAGTATGACTCTATATTTTGCTACATTTCGTTTAATTTCATTTTCCAGTTGAGTGTTTAATTTTATTTTTACATTTGATCAATTTTACATTTGATATTGTATTTTTTTTTTTTTTTTTTTTAAATAATTAAACACTTTCGGTTTATCTCGATTTTAATATTACATTGTTTTTATTTTACGTACACCTGTTACACT